TCCCAACTTTCCCTCGCTCGGGTTTTGGGTGTTCAGTGTGACCTTTCTTAGCACTAATCCCCAACGTTGAAATATCGAAAGTTGGCCCTTCTGTTGTAATATCTCTCGATCCGTTGCTTTTGGGCAACCAACCGAACAAGGGCGGCTTCGCGCCTTTCATCCAACAGTTGCAAGCTCGTATTCATGGCCTCGTCATTTGATTCCTTTGTTGCATATTGGAACCTGATACTTGGCTCTCCGACTTCGACCAGTATTAGAGCTTCGGTGCCGTAAACTAATGAGAACGGAGTGGCCCCAGTACTGGACTTCGAGGTCATACGATATGCCCATAGGACTTCGGGTAGGATTTCCTTCCATTTTCCTTTGGCGTCGGTTTACCTTTTCTTGAGGTTTTGGAGTATGGTTTTGTTGGTTGATTCGGCTCGTCCGTTCCCACTAGGGTGATAAGGTGTTGATAGGATCCTTTTGATCTTATGATCCTCGAGAAACTTGGTCTCTTTGCTACCGATAAATTATTTCCCGTTGTCACATACGATTTCGGATGGCATTACAAACTGACATATGATGTGGTCCCAAATGAAGTCGATGACTTCCTTCTGCCTAACCTTCTCGTACGCCTTTGCTTCAACCCACTTAGAAAAATAGTCAGTCATAAATAATATAAATTGAGCCTTACCGGGTGCCCATGGAAAAGGGCCAACGATGTCCATTCCCCACTTCATGAATGGCCACCGTGACAAGACCGAATGCAGTAGCTTCCTGGGTTGGTGAATCATCGGAGCATGTCTTTGGCATTCATCACATTTTCGTACAAACTCCTTCGCGTGTTTTTTCATATTGATCTAGTGATAGCCGGCTCTGATTACCTTTTGAACCAATGATTCGGTGCCTGAATGATTTGTAGGTGCCCTTATGGACTTTCCTCAGAACGTACTTGGTATCTCCTGGCCTCAGGTATATTGCTAGTGGGCCATCGAACATTCTTCTGAACAAGGTTCCATCTGAATCGGGCTGCCTTTGTGCGCAGGGTCCTCGATTATTTTGGATCTGAGGGGAGTTTTCCGGTCATCAAATATTCTACATATTTGTTTCCCCAATCCCACGTCAAGGTTGTAAAGTTTATTTCAACGTAGCCTTCTTCTACTACCAACCTAATAAGCTGTACAACTGCCCCCGAGTTGAGCTCGTCGTCTTTGACCGACGACCTTAAGTTCGTAAAGGCATTGGCCTCGCTAGTTTGATTTCGAGGTACGTGCTGCAAAGTCCACTCTTTGAACCGATGTAATGTTGCCTGCAACTTATCCAGGTATCTTTGCATTCGTTCTTCTCTAACCTCGAATGTTCTATTAACTTGGTTCACCACGAGGAGGGAGTCACACTTAGCTTCGATCACCTTCGGCCCCAAGCTTTTGGCTAGTTCAAGCCCTGCAATCATGGCCTCATATTCGGCCTCGTTGTTAGTCAATTTTACAGTCCTAATAGATTGTCTAACTACATTGCCTGCTGGTGGCTTCAATATGATGCCGAGTCCGGACCCTTTCGCGTTCGAGGCACCGTCCGCAAAAGAGGGTCCAGATTCTCGAGGACGTCCTCGAGTTTACCAATAACTCTCGTTCAATCTCGGGTATTAGGGCCGGCGTAAAGTCGGCCACGAAGTCTGCCAAAATTTGAGATTTGATGGTTGTTCGGGGTCGATACTCAATATCGTACCCACTAATTTCCACAACCCATTTGGCCAATCGTCCCAAGAGTTTGGGTTTGTGCATAATATTTCGCAACGGGTAAGTTGTCAGAACACACATGGGGTGTCACTAAAAATATGATATCAGTTTCCTAGAGGCGCTTAGCAAAGCGAGCGCCAATTTTTCCAAGTGAGGTTACCTAGTCTCGGCCTCACCTATGGTCCTGCTAACATAATAAATTGGAAATTGCGTACCCTGTTCTTCTCGGACCAGGACTCCACTTACCGCTATTTCCGATACTGCCAAGTACAAGTACAGTTGTTCATCCGCTTTCGATGTATGAAGCAGCGGCGGGCTCGATAAATATCGTTTTAGTTCCTCCAGGGCCCATTGACACTCCGGGGTCCATGAAAAGTTGTTCTTCTTTTTGAATAGCGAGAAGTCGGTGACTCTTATCGGAGGACCTCGAGATGAATTTCCCCAGGGCGGTAATGCTCCCGGTTAGCCTTTGCACGAACTTTACGTTGTCGACTACCATGATATCCTCGTTAGCTTTGATCTTGTCGGGGTTGATCTCGATTCCTCGGTTGGATACAATGAACCCGAGAAATTTACCTGATCCAACTCCGAACGCACATTTCTCTGGATTCAGCTTTATGTTGTACTTTTTCAATATACTGAAGGTTTCCTGAAATGCTTTAAATGGTCCCCTGCTCACAAGGACTTAACCAACATATCGTCAATGTAAACTTCCATGGATTTCCCTATTTGTTCTCCGAACATCCGGTTTACCAGGCGTTGGTAAGTGGCACCGGTGTTTTTTAATCCAAATGGCATCACGTTATAGCAGTATGTGCCATACTTAGTGATGAAGGAGGTCTTTTCTTGATCATCCGGGTTCATACGTATTTGGTTGTACCCGGAGTAGGCATCAAGAAAACTGAGGATCTCGTGGCCGGCTGTGGCATCAACCATGTGGTTGATGTTAGGCAAAGGGAGAGAGTCCTTGTGACATGCTTTATTTAAATCTTTATAATGTACACACATTCTCGACCTTTCCGCGACCGGTTCCTCCTTGCGAGTGATCTCTCCAGACGGGTCGGGCTCGATCTTGCTCGGTACGCGGCTCTGGTTTTGTAACTGAACTATTGCTGCATGTTGAGCCTGCAACATTTTGAAGATCATCCGTAGATTGGCATCGTCTCCTCCATTATTTTGAGTATTATGTGATGTCGACTGGGGTCCACCACGGATGCTATTCTTGGGATCAGTAGGGAGGCTTGTGTCGATAGCCACATGCGAATTAGCGTCCAACGGGTCCGCAATTGGAATACCGACGGGATCAACGGGCGGTACCTCGTCACTGGGTGCTATGTTATTGTTTTCACCGTGGTGACCAGACTAATCGTCAGCAGGTAAAGGTGCTAATTGTGAGTTTGACAGTTTGAGTTTAAGCCTGAAACCAGAGACACTTCAAAGAACAAGTGTAAAATAGTGTGTGTTATGGAAATTCGTATCAAATAACCATTATTTTCCTTAGCCCTACGGTGGGCGCCAAACTATTTACCCTCAAAATCGGATAATAATAGAATTTATACGCGGTTTTAAGGATACGTGATCTAACTTGATACAAATTGAGAAAATCAAATTAATATTGAAATCAATAAGTAAAAAGTAAATGCAAACCACACAAGTTGAACAATCTTGGCCTTGAAGGTTGGTCACCCTCGAGTCAAAAGTGCCTTAATCAGTATTGGAACAGAATGGTAAGATAACAAGAACTAGTAATAATAGTATATTGCTAATTAATTGGTTTCTCATTGATACGTAACGAGATTCCCGTCCGTGATATTCGATCAGTTGCGGATATTTCGGCTTTATTATTTGGTCCGATAATATTTTCTCGAGCTTATTCGGAGTCGGAGTCGGTTCAGGAGTCACGGGCTCGATGATCTTTGAAGACGTATGTTCTAACTTCGTACCTTGGTTCGATAGAACCCAGGGTCAATCTCAACCTATCACATTTCAGTTCCAATCTGTCACGAATAGATGAGCCCGATTTCGATCATATACACTGATATAATAATTTATTATGATAGTATATATGAGGTATGGAGTGAATAAGAAAATCTAAATCCGTTTCGCCTCAAGATATTAGCCGTATCCGAGGAAGTCCTTTGTCCACCTCTTCCCTTTCAAGAAAAACTTCGCATCTTTTATTGTTTTCACATTTGACATAAATTTTCATATTTCAAAAAGATTTAAGTTATATATGCTTATAGTATAAATAATTTTTATATTATTAATATAATTTTAATTAATTAAACATTACTTATTGTATTTTTTAAGTTTTCAAATTAAAATTACTTTTGAGAGAGAGTTAAATTCTTCGAGAAAAGAATAGTCTTGTGGTCGAAATAAAACAAGACCATGGGACGGACTTTACACAAGAATAATGCAACCTTGTAGAAGATTAGCTATCCAACCGACTAACCGAACAGATCGAACAAACTAAACCAATAAAATAATTAAATTGTTTTCTGATCTAAACGGCATCTTATAAGTAATGATTATCATTTATCCCAGTGATATGCAAATATTGTTCTTCTTTTTTTCTTTTTGGGGTTTGGACATATTTAGTGAATTCCATATTCTTGGAATAGAAGCCAGCATTTCACGGGCTGATTTTATTGATGGTTGCTGAACTTTTATTTTATCCTAATTAAAGTCATTACTTTTTTTTATAATAAAAGATGTTCAACTATATCTAAGTATCATAAATATTATTAAGTTACTTTTTCTATCTAAATATATAAATTTTATTTTAAAAGTTCTATATTAGAATTTCAGTTGAAAATTAGTTAATTTGACCTCATTCGACAAATTATTTTATATTAGTTAACTCTTAGGCCTACTCTCGAGTCCAGACTCCATCTGTAACTCTGTTACGCACATGTCAGATCAGTTTAGTTCATATTTCACTGATCAGTTTAGTTATATAAAATAAAATATAAAAAAAAGGTGAAAAATTCATTCATCTACTTCTACCGTGACTTCAGTCATGCAGGTTGAACAATAAATACATGCATCGAAAGAACAAAAGCTAAAAACAAACTTAGAAGGAGTAAAGTTGCTGTATTCAAAATTTAAATTTTATGCGCCAATAATTTTACTCATATCGACTTTACATGTCAAGTTTATACAGTAACCCCGAAAATGAAGTAATAAAAATATAAGTTAAATTACACTAATAGTGTAAAAATTACAAAACCCAATCCGTATAAAAGTAACAAATAAAACAAGATTTTGGGAATTGACTAAACGAGGCAAATTGATCTTTGCTTAACATTAATAACTTCTCTCACAGGGTGTAAGAAAAACACCATCCACTGCAAGGAAAAAGCTCCAATCTCTTCTTCTTTACAAATCTGACCCATAAAAAGAACCAAAATAATTCCTGGCCATTTTTGGTCGTGTTAGAGGATGTCACTAAACATAAAAAATAAAAATAAAAATAAGAACTAGAGTGAAGAAAGACGTTGAAAAAAGAGAAACAATTCAACAGAATTGCTTCATCTTAAACCCATCTTCTTCACCCAAAACCTATCACTACTACTATTCACTTTCCCTTGCTTTCTCTTTAATTCAATTCTCTATCGAAGCATAGAAGTTAGTGATCGGAAAACAACTTCTTCACATGGAATAGTGATACCCATGTCATGATCAAAGCCAAATTCTTCTTCAGCGCGTCGTAAGAGGCACTGAAACTCAGGGTGAGTTAAGAATGAAATTGGTATAATGTATCGAGTTCGGTTCTCTCCAACATAAACAGCAAAATGCCCTTTGGGTACGTCAAGGGGAAGACCATCTTCATCGTTATAGCCATGTTTCTTCCCCAAACTCGAACATTTTTTCAAGATTTGCTTTAGGACTGCAGTTTGTGGCAGCTTGTTTGTTTTTCTGATTGCCATTTTTTGCTTCACTTAAAGTTTGAAAGTAATGCAAATGAAAAAAAGTTAGAGGGTTTTCGGGACAAAAAGAGAAGACCAACACAACACTTCTTTGCTTGAGAGAAAGTGTTGTCAAAAAGTGGTGGTGATGAGGAATTGGAAGTGTAAAGGTATATATAAAGGTAAAGCTCTGGTTTTGGTTTATAAAAATTTTAAGGGTGAGAGGGGGGGGGGGGAGAACATGATCTTGTGGGGGTGGGGTGGGGTAGGGTAGGGTAAGGGTGGGTGCAAAGGACAGAGCAAGGGTGTAATTAGGGGTAAGAGTACAAGAAGAAGGACAAGGTGGGGGTTGAAGGCTTGAAACCCATTGATTTTGTATTTCTATGTTGAACCTCCTAATGGCAAAGAGGGCCCTTTTATCTAGCCTCCCTGTGCCATCTTGAGTCCATTTCTCAAATCGATATTTAACTATCCTAAATTATCTATTAAAGTCATTTTTCTTTTGTTTGTAACTGCAAAATCACTTAACTATGCCTAGAGGTGGCAAAATGGTTCAAAGAAAACAGTTAACCACCCATATTATCTACTAAAAAATGGGTTGGATAATGAACTTTTTAAAAACGGGTCAAATATGGATAAGAACCATATTATCCGTTTAGAAAATGGATAACCACTGAGTAACCAATGGATAACCGATGGGTCTAAATTTTACATTTGTAAAGCCTCAAATTGGGAGTTCCTCAAGTTAGGGAGACTAAGAATTCTCCCAAAAGTGATCATATACAAGAAGTCATGGATAATATGGGTTACCCATATTATTCGACAGTTAACCCATTTTTTATCCGTATTAAATATGGGTCGGGTCAGATAATTGATCCGTTTTTTCATTACCCACTTTCGACCCGAATCATATCCGACACGACCCACCCGTTTGCCACTCCTAACTATGCCTATAACACTCAAAGGTCACTCAATTATATTTCTCAAACTTTTGATTGCAAAATACCTATTTTACTCTCTAAATTATCAACTTTTGTCTTCATTTATTTATTTTTAAATTTTTAATATTATAACTTTTTCTCTTTTTAATTTATATTATGGACTTACCTATAGAATAAATAAAATTTATTTATAAATTAAAAAAATAAAAATAGTATTTAAGCATATATGTTAGAATAATAAAATATTGAGCATAGTAAAAAAATATATTAATTAGAACAATTTTTCCGTAATAATAATTTTGATATTAACAACAAAAATTTAAAAATTATTTACACAATTGATAATAAAATAAAATAAAATTTGTAAAATATGTATTCCATGCACGTAATATAAATTTTTTTTATTTAAAATAAAGGTATTTTTATAATATACATTATATATTCTTGAAAATTACGCTCAATTATATTATTCTGATATTATATAAGCTAGAAAACAATTTTTTTATTTTTTAAATAAAATATATTTTTTCTATAGGTAAGTCCATAATGTAAATTAAAAAGAGAAAAGTCATTATTAAAAAGGTAACCAAAAAAGAAGAAGATAAAACATGATAATTTAGAGGATAAAATAGAGTATTTGATAATCAAAAGTTTGAGAAATATGGTTGAGTGATCTTCTGAGTGCTATATGCATAGTTAAATGAATTTTCTGTTACAAACAAAAGAAAAATGACTTTACCAGATATTTTCGGATAGTTGAGTGACCATTTAACTAATGGACTCCATCATGGACATATAGATCTCTTCTTTGCTAACGGGTGTCAATGAAATTACTCTCATTAGTTGATTTGAAATACATAAAATCATAAGGTATATCTTTGTAGCTGAAAAGTTTCTTTTCAAATAGTTTATATTTAGTTCTTATACATGACCTTACTGAGTTTAAGAAAAAAAATTAGAACTTGTGATCTTGATCATGCCATAATATTTTTGTGACTATAAAATATATTACTAAAGGTAAAGTGAGATGTTTAAATTTAAATTATTTTTAAATATAAAAAAATACGATTACACTTTTGAAATATATTGAAAAAAAAAGAGTGTATTGAGTAGTTATACTGATATTTTGCTTCCATTGATTTCAGCAATATTTGATTTTATTGGTAAGGAATTCAGAATGTATTTGGTTTTATTTGTTGTGTTTAGGTATATTTGGCTAACTCCCAGGAACATGGCTTTCATTGCTTAAGGCTGGTAGCAAGTTTCAATATCAAGGCATTAATGAAACTTGTTTCCATTTCCAACATTCTGTCTCCTCTTCCCTCCTGCCAGAGACTAGAGGCTCATTTCTTGCTCCATATCTACTTTTGTGGCTCCCTGCTTTTTCAGTCTCTTCATATAATTCTTTTAAGTTGCACTTTAATTTCAAGTTTTTGTTTTTGTGCAACTACTACTTTCCAGTACAGTAGTGAGTTGTTGAATTAAAAAGAATTTAAGTTGTATTCACTGACGATATAAAAATATGAAATGTAACAGGACCAACTCCAACATGTTACCGATCATTTTTTAGGTTATGAAACATTAATAAAACGCTTAATTGAAAAGAGTGGCTTTAATAAAACACTTACTTGTATCTATTTTTAGTTTTAGTTTTGTAATAACTTTTACACAATCAATGCATATTATAAGAGTTAAAACTCAATTGAAAAGAGTAGTGGCTTAGACAAGAGACTAAAAGAACAATTATATAATAATAACTGAAATTAGAGGGGTTTATTGTGGATTATGTGATACATTTTCTGTTATTTTTTATGGAAAAGTAATTGAATCATTTTGGTCCATAAATTAATTAAAGGTGATTACCATTTACGAGCATGCATAAAATATGTGAGCCAAACTTTTTTTTTTGTACAGGTTTCGATGCGTAAGTACGTACTAGTATAAATTTTCTTGCTATTAAACAGTTTCGTAATAAAAAAATTTATTGGGCTTTGCGAACGTAATAAACAAAAAATTGCGCGGAACGATCTTGCACGGGGCTGGTCTCAGCGAAATATCTTCGTAACTGGCAGTATTTCATAGATGACTCCCGCATTGTAAACCTAATTGATTATTTCCAATTACGTAAATCAATAGTTCAAATCGCACTCAAAGGTAGGGCATTTCCCATTTTTATAGAAACTTCTGTACCAGAAAAAATGGTATCTCCAATTATAGCACCTTTTCTTTGTGTAGGCTTTAGCTAAGATTAGCTACATGTAGGATCCTGTATCAAATGCTATATAATAATATAATATTTATGGCTAAAAGTTCTACATCATTTTGTCATACTATTCTGTACCAAATTATAATTTCAAAAAATATTTTGTTAAATAATACAGACAAATTATGTCAATTAGATAGATTTTGATAGACAATATAACAGATAAGTCGATTGCAGATAACACAAAATAGTGATGTCAATTTATTAGAGTTTGATGAACAATTGAACATGTACAAAATTATACCAATTGGGTAGAGTTGTAAACAGTTTAACAAATAATAAATTGCAGATAAACAAACTCACGCCAATCTAGTGGTGTTGATGAACAATCGAACAAGCACAAAATCATGTCAACCAGATAGAATTTGATGAATAATTTAACAGATAGGTAGAGTAAATATATCATAAATTCTTTATCCGTGAAAGGCAATAAATGGGTGTGTGGGTCAGGGATTATTTTTAAATACCGCTAATTACATAGACATTCGGCGAAGACTAGCCCTTTACGGGCAACATTTTTGTGATATTTCGCTAAAAACTCCGAACATAATGTAATATTATTCTTTTTAGTCATAACTTACATTTTTCTCAAAAGCTCTAACACCATTAGTATCTATGCGCTTTATATGAAGATTCTCAATTCTTTGAGAACTTCATTCGTACATCCAATAATTTCCCTCTCCAAATTATGTTTCACGTGACTCATTAACATGATCTACTGGTATCCCGCTCCAACTAAGTTTCATATGACACATCATCACAACCCACCGGTCAATTTCAGAAAATTTTGTGCCATCAACATTGACCACCGTACCATTAGCTCTAGCTGGTACCAATTCAAAAGCAATATAAGATCTAGTTCTGGTATTTAAACCAACGTTAGAAAATTCATAGAAATCACGGACGACCTTGAGAGGAACGAAGTACGAACAGTTCCTCTTTTTAAAAGCGCTTTGGTTTTTTGTGAATGTTGGAATTTGGTTTTAGTAAGTATTTTTTTTATCGTCAGTTCAGATTTCAGACAAAGATAAAGCAAGACACTCTTTACAGTTGCAGGTTTGACACGTATTGTACAGAGGCGTTACAACAACGTTATTTATCATGGTGTCCAACAGATACCTCTCGAATCTTTGAGTTGCAGAATTTCGTGTTAATTTTATAAAAAATAAACTGCCCGGTTCCAACAATCAAGAAAACTGATTTCCTTGGCAACTCCCATGCTGATTTGCAGTCTACTGAATAACCAATGTTAGTTATGCCATGTGAAGAGATATTTTATAGAATTATAGTATAAGCTATGACATACTAGTTAGTAGTATATATCAGGGGTGGAGGGTGGAGCTATAGGATGCAAAGGTTTCATCTGAATTTTTTTTGTCAAAAAATTGCATTATATATATAAGGTCAAAATTAATTTTTATAATAGATGCTGAATCATTCTGGTTACTTGGTGTGATTAATTCTTTATATTTTAAATTTCCGTAGTAAAAATTCTAGCTCCGCATTGATTAATGTATATATTACTTGGACTTGATTACGGGCACTTATTTAATATGGAATGCAACAGAGTATTCGAATGTATTTTAAATAATTAGTACACAATAGTATCTCGTTTACAGGTACGCATTTGATGTGGACGCGTCCAGGTCTCCAATAAAAGTCTTTTTAGATTTTTTTTGCTCATTTTGTATATTTTGATGATTTCAAATTAAGTACTTTATCTATGGTACATATATATATCTGAGTCGATGCGTCTAAAGAATATGACATATCAATATGTACAGTTTTTTCCTTATTTTATATATGAGTTTAAGTTATAGACACCATCAGTTTAAGGAGTTTATTTTAAAATTATCATATCATCTTTACACGTTATAGCAGACAACTTGTCTTATTTTCAAGATCACAAATTCTACATTTTGAGAAGATTTACCCGTAGATGTTTTGGATGATATGCAACAACAACAACAATCCAGTGAAATCCAACAAGTAGGGTCTGGGGACAGGGGCGGATCTATAGCCCAGTGTAAGGGGCACGTGAACCCATAGTCTTTCTGCCAAATTAGGTAATTTATGTACATATTTTTTAAAATTGATCAAATATTACCTACTGGCACCCATGCTCCAAAAAGGCAAATGGTGCACTTGGTTGAATGCTAAGTTATTTACCTAGAGAATAGGGATTAATTCTCACTTAATACTTTTATTGTTTCCCCTTTTTTAATGATGCACCCATGTTATAAAAATCCTAGATCCACCTCTGTCTGGGGAGGGTAGTGAGTACGCAGACCTTACCCTGACCCCTAGGGAGTAGAGAGGCTGTTTCCGAAAGACCCTTGACTCAAGAAGACGAAAAGAGACAAATACATCAGTACCATCAAATCATCAACAGATGTTTTGGATGATATGATAGTGCAAAAAATTATTTAAACAATGTAAAGAATGAGTGTGGATAAATTTTCTCCTTTGTGGTATTCCATAGCTCCGGCGTTTGGCTTTTCAAGTTGATCAAAGGTAATAGTAACTGGAAATAGGAGGAGATTGGGTTGTGAAAGTGTGGTCCTTCATTACAGGACCAGCAGCAGCATCTTCAGAGCACTAGTTATTGAGCACTATTGGTGAAAAGAAAGTTAGGTGTATAGTAGTATCTCTTGCATGTTCTAAGGCTCACAAACTAGTCCAAAAAAAGTTAATCAATTAAATGACATGATACGGAAAACGTCCTGCAGTTTCCTCATGTCTTCTTCTTTTGTTTTACTCAGATATTGTACAATTTGTGTCCTTTCGACTATCTTTAGAACATGGTCTATGAAAGAGGACCAACAAAATTTCCCAACCATATATTTACTTATCAAGAAAGCTGTAATGTCCTCCAACTTAATAATTAATAGCCATTTTTATCGTCGCCCAAAATAAAGCAGTTAAAACAAGGCCAACATATCTTTTTCCACTTTAGTTGAGTCATTTCTCTGCATTGAATTATACGTACAAGAGAGTTTCATTACTTTAATTTTGTTAAGAATATGAATGTGTTACTATTTATTTTAGGCAACAATGAGCGGCGAAACCAGAAATTTCATCTAGGGTGTTCAAACTTGAAATAAGTAAAAAAAATCTCCAATAAAGGGTATTCAATATATGTTATATACCAATAAAATCTAATATTTTACCTATATATACAGTGTAATTTTTCAACAAAGGGTAGTCTGTTAACCACCCTTAGGGCTATGTACCTTCGCTCTCGGCAACAATAAGAGGTAAAGGCGCATGCAAGCACTATAGAAGAACGAAAAGGGGATATTTACATAAACAATCAGTCGAATTCACTGTTTACTTTTCCATATAAATTATAACATTGATTATATCTAATGTACACACATGTTATACAATAAATTATTACATATTCACGGGCTATTTTTAATTTAAACAATTGGATAGGCCGGAGGGGTGGTCCTTTTCACTCACCAAAAATGAGGTGATGAAGAGAACTAATTATGAACCGCAATTGGAGTTGATGGTGACCCAACAAGCTTCCGTATAGCACATGAATGCCATGTTACTCTTGCAGCCCAAATAAACATTACTTCACTAGTAAAGACAATACTGTAAGGCCCTTTGATATCAGCACCAACTACTTCTTCAAACTACTGCCAGCTTAACTTCACTCCTTCCCTCCTCACTCATTGGTTTGCTTTAACTGCCTCACTCCTATTATTGGCCCCAAGAATTGATGTTCCCTTTTACACTGATATGGTGTCCGGATTAATTTGTACGCACTTTAACTGTTCCACGAGAATTTGCTATCTTTTTCCACCTTAGATATCGAGTAATTACTCTGTTTGCTAGGTATAGACAATGGGAAAAAAAAATTATCTAACGTTTTTATCACTTCTGGAACTTTAACTATGTCTCATGGTTATCACCCGCTTTATCAACTGGTAGGCTACACCCACATCCATCAAAACTAAGATGGATGTACGATGGATGTGGTGGAGTAGAACTGCATCTATTAATTTTGGTGTGACTATAGGTACAGACATAGTATTAGTATATATACATTTTAAAAAAATTTAACAGCGTATATACGAGTCGAAGATTGTAGCTACACACGGCCGAAAGGATACAACATCTTTATCTAAGTTTTATAACTGATCAACTTAATGTTAAACAAATAATTATGGGGGGATTGAACTTAGTTGAAAGAAATGCAGTAACTTTGACAATAAATCAACCAATTCGGCGTTCGGCTCTTTTGTTTTAAGTATCGCTGAATTTCAAGAATCCAGGAGTTACTGCAAAGGATGTGGAAATTGGTCCTATTTACTAAATACGTCATCAAGATTTATAGGAAATAGAACCATCCCTCCACCCAAGAGAAACCCTCACCCAGTAGCATAAAAGGTGTAAGAATCTTCAGTTGCTTCAACCCTAAGCATATACTAGTATAGACCACGATCTACATAATCAAGCCCCAGTGGGAATGATGTCATGATAATTAACTATCAAACATGGTTGATTTCTTGAAAGTTTCAAGATACTTTAGATAGCCACACACACGTGTCTATGCATAAGAAGCCTGGATCTCTAACAAAAAAGAAACTTAATAACATTATCATCACTGAGACAGAGAGAGAGAGAGAGTGTGCAGTAGATATAAGGCTGGTTAAAATAAAGGAAATTTCAAGGGAATACTATATAGAAAATTCGGCAAATTTTAGAATAGGAATTCAACTCCACCTGCATGAACTTGCTCACTTCCGCAGTCAAAAACTATGATAAAAGAGGGGTAGCATAAAACTAGTTAATTTACTATAAGTTGGGACGTGCTCACTTAGGCATCAGCATTTAACTTGTTCGGGATTGAGGCATCATAACTGCTATTTTGGGATTCTATATATGGTATACGTAGCAAAGGCACAAACCAGCACCAGCTGAATATGTTGAGAATCGAAGACCCCACACCAGCACATGCAAGAGTCATCTGAAAACCAGAGTACAGCTTCTTCCGCCCATACTTTATGGATTAAAAGGACCTGCAGAATGTCACAAGGTTTTCCTATACATAATTTGCATGGAAAAAAAGATGATGCAAGAATAACTGATTGCTTTGCACCTGATCCTTCATTCTTTCCCTCTTTTTCCTCTTTAAGATGATGCAAGAAAAAGCATACATAAAAAATATATCTTAATTACATGTGTCTTTTCGCATGCCAATGCTAAACAACCAATCATTCTTGCTATTTGAAGACAACGAGAGATCTTTAAGAATTAAAAGAGACCTTATCACTGTCGAATGACTGTGTAATATATATAAATTCTTGATGACATGAACCAGATATTGATGTAGCTTGAAAAAATCAGGAAGCGAGTAAGCTAGCCGATATAGTTGCTCTGCAAAGATAGACCTTGTCTTAGTAATCAGATTCAGTTCATCACCAATAGCGATACCGAGTAAAATTACAGAACTTTTAGACCATGAAATATCTAGTGTCATAATCTTGCGTTGGCTCAAGCACCTAGTTCATACAAGTTCATGATATATCAATAACTGCAACCGTAGGTGCTGAAACTTGCAAATTCTGCCTGAACTCCTGAAAAAGGAGAGAAAACAAAAGGGACTAGCTCTATAGCAGAATCACGAGTTGAGAATTCTTTGATTTGGTATATACAAGTATGCCAGTAAATCTGGTATCCCACATAAGTATTCACCACCAATGTACTGACTTATGGACCAACCAAAAGATCATTTGCATTTACATCTCTCTTGGCTCGAACTACCATCACTAAGACATTCTTAAGATTACTATTCCAGTAAGAATTCCAATGCCAACAAAATAAATCTAAGCACTTCTGAAAATTTATACAAAAAGAATGAGACAATAAAATTATGACATGTAGGTGATGAATAGTTATTATTTCAAAAAATTACAAAATTGCATTGATTGTGCTAATAGAACACCATTGCAACTCTGTATCAGTCTATTAGGAAATGAATCTATTGCAACTCTTCTTCCTGTGATGGTACATTTATAATTCTTTCTCCAGATCCTGACAAAGATAACCCGGAAAAAGGGAAAACGGAGAAGGGAAGTGCAAAGAACACTTTCATCAGGGATCTCTGGGGAGCAAGTGGATGACCGTAGATATTATGATGATACACATTCACAGATCAGCAGCAGGTTTCAATTGTTGATGCTGGCCCTCTATCAAGCTCAACTGTCTTCTCAATCTTGCAATATGACCTTGCACCTATAATATTGAAACAGACCATAAAAGGGTCTTCTGATCTGATTCCACTACATAGATTAAAAGTTATTGTCTGGCAACAAAACTTTCAAGCACAAGCTATATCTAAATGAAACATCTGCATTAGTTGAGACGTACAGTACTTGGATATCAACCAAGAATTTCTATGGACGGCATAACTCATATTCCAACTAGATAAATGCTTATAGAAGAACATCCTGGCATATCTCATGAATTTTGTTCTTTCTAGACCATGAGAGTTGACTGTGTCCAAGTGAACCATAAGGAGGGATTACTTTATACATAGACCGACACCTGGTTCTAGTACTTACTCTTTTCTGTTGCACAAATTAAGATTGGAAACTTTTCTATCTCCAGATTATAGAGCAACTATCCAGTCAATCCACAATTTGCAAATGAATCTCAATGCATAATAATAACAAGAAGAAAGTCAGTGAGGAAACAGAAAGATGTATCCTCCCTATGGCAGCATATGATCAGGACAACTTCCTCTGATTATTCATTTGTCCACTATGTCTCAATATCTCTCCGAGTTAGAAATTATTGCATTTGAGTCTTGATTGTCATAACAGTTAAGCAATATCTTATTCCCCTATGATCACTTGCACTCATTGTCTCATTGCACGAGAATTGCAGAAGATTATAAAGGATTATACTTCTTGCCATAAGCTCTTTTTTTTTTTGTGATAAGTTACTTCTTGCTATTAACTCAATCTGGTCATTTCTTCTGTGGCCATGCGTCCCTGGGGCTCTCTCCCCAGATTTTTGTCGAATCATTAGGATTCTTCTTCACCTCCTCTTACTCCTCCTATTTTCCCATGGGAGAGCCAAGCCACCAGTCAATCTTGTTAGCAAACAACTCCAAAGTTCATTGTTTCTTGTTTTATATTACACACTTGAGCAACTGACTGAAAGAGAACCGTAGAAATACTCATACTAGTGATAACAGAAAGAAGAAAGAGCATTTAAAAGATAATAACCTGCTGGCGAGCTGCTGTAAGTTTTAACAGCTCGTCTGCTTCAGAGAAATTTGTGAACCATTGACTTAGAGGATGATCTTTTGAGTCACTGCGTTTCCTTCGATCAACATCTTCTATTGGTACTAAAGACAAAGACATCAAAATCATCAACCTACACGAATACAGTAAATTGTGCCAGCCCATTAAGCAGTTGAAGACACACCAGGAGGAGGTAAATTTAGGCCAGGCGGTAGTCTAGGCACACTGACTGCTGGATGGTTCTGTACACGGGCAAAAAAGGCCTCTGAAGGCTCTGCAAGTACAATTTCATCATATGACTCTACTACAACAGGTCTTTTAGTGGATAGAGGCCCAGATTCGTCCTCTGGATACAGTTTCAAATGGTGATATCTGCAAATAAAGAAAAACTTCATAAAGTCCTAACAGTTTACATGAATAAAAGCAAAAGATATAAACCGAAGTAAGATAGTTCAAAGACTAACATGAAGAAAATAAAGCAACAAGAATAAAAGCTACTACAACTACTAAGCATCAATCGCAAACTAGTTAGGGCTGCCTATAGTATCGTTAATCCATTTTGCAGTTTCGCTCTATTTGGGCTCATTGCATTCTAATAATAAATCAGGGGTTTCCTAAAACTAGAGGTTCTTTAACTTTCAGTTATTTCCATTCTCTCCGCAAACTAAAAGACTCCTGTCAGACACTGGGTCTAACGTAAATATGTATGTGTACATACAGCGACCAAGCATTATTTCCAACTAGTCGATTGCCTATATGAATTGCTTCCTTCTCTCTGCAAACTAAAAGACTCCTGTCAGACACTGGGTCTAACGTAAATATGTAAGTGTACATACAGCGACCAAGCATTATTTCCAACTAGTCGATTGCCTATATGAATTGCTTCCATCTTGTTCTGTTTTTAGCTCAGTCCACTTGGAATTCGAGAGATTGCAGAACCTTTGAGACAATTTCCTTTCAATGTGATTTAAATCCACCTAAAGACAATAAAGCAACAAGCTAAGAAATAGCTTACAAGAAGTGCATGAACTTTTTCTTTTCTCAGATAAGTCTACTGTAGAAGTAATCTAGAATTTTAAATGGCCTGGTCCAAGCATAAGTGTAGTTTAATCATTTCCAGTAAAGTCTAGTGGCGACAGAGCTGCTGTATAACAAAAGACCAAGCAACTCACAAGTGCAACGGCTTATCACAAACATCAGTGTGGAAATGAAGGGTTATAACAATTTCGAATTCACCCCATCCACACTCCGACAACTCAAAAGGGGGGCCGTCCACAACCCTCGTAGGATTGTTAAAACTTGAGTGCAATTGAAAATCCACACGCTTCACCACCACGCTGAGATCCTCATTAGTTGCACCACGAACGTAAACAGTCCATTTATGAGACTGGAACCTGCTCCACAATCAACATTTCACTCAGATATTTCATCAACCAGTAACATACAATTAAGTTACTCCCTCTATCTCAGTTCATGTGACACACTTTCCTTTTTAGTTTGTCCCAGAAAGAATAACACTTTTCATACTAACTTTAAAATTCTCAGTTTATCCTAATAAGCACACAAAATGTTTATGGTTGTTTAGACCAAAAGTTTCAAAAAAAATCTTTCTTTCTTAATCTCCGTGTTCAGTCGAACAGAGCTACATTAAATGGGACGGAGGGAGTATCAACTTTACAGAAAAGCTATCAACTTTTTTGAGAGTACTCACTCGCTCGCCTTCTTACCAAGCCAAAATGCAATATTTCCATACACTATTGGGACCCCAACTTCAAGCTCTTTCAGCTTCTTACCACTATTCTGCACAAACTAACAGCACACCCTATGAACATATCTTCAAGGAAATTAAGCTGCGAAAACTTTTTAGCTCAAAATAAGAAACCCCACCAAATATTTTTTAGAAATATCAACAAATTAAGCTGGGAATTTTTTATTTAATTAACAAAGAACCTTTTTATCGCTGTCATCGGAAGATTTAACCATTTTGGTACGCTGAGATTTGGGATTGGGTCCGGTAACGTCGGGCGGGTCTTGCGCGTGCTTCTTTGTCGACGAGCTTTGAGGCATTCTACGGCAATTCTCCGATTGGTCAAATTTGGGGAATAACTAGGGTTTCTGATTGGACAATCAGTGTACGGATAACGAGGAGGAGGGAAATGGATCCTCTGCGGCCTGTTGCAGGTTAATGAGAGATCTAACACCAATCGTATCGTTCGTTCTAAAGGGTATTGTAGTCAATAAGTTGGCGTGTTAATTTCGGCTGAATACCTCTTTTATGTTGAACACTTCATTCCCATTATCTTTTAGTTTGTGGTGGTTAACCTTTGGTCACGGACTTGGTTGCATATCGTTAGTCACTACAATTTTTTGGAGGGAAAAGGGCCAAATTTGCCGAAAAGGATCAATGTTATCATCTGTTATATTCGTCCAAAAATATCCTTGATGTTATCATAGTAGTTTAAATATATCCATCCTTTGTTAGGACTGTCCAAGGTGGATGCCCAATTCTACGTGGCACTGCCCTTTTGGTGAGATGGACACTATAAGGCATGCTACCTTATCCCCAACCAAGGGTGGATCAAGGATTTGGAGGTTAAGGGTGCCAAGTTGGTCAATGATGAGTTGAAGATGATGGATAGGTTTCAAAAGTTGTTTCCTTTTCACTTCAGCGGTGCGCCTTCAGATGATGCCCAAGAGTTTTTGGATCGATGTCATGAAATTTTGCACAATTTGGGACTGATTGAGTCAAATGGAGTGGACTTTACTATTTTTCAGATGCAGGGTTCGGCTAAGAGATGGTGACAGACCTATGAGATGGGCAGACCAACATGGTTATCTAATCTTACTTAGGCTTAATTTTCACAACTTTTCTTGGAGAAGTTTATCCCACTCACTTAGAGAGATTATCTACGTAGTTAGTTTGAGCCTCTTCAGTAGGGTGGTATGAAAGTCACCCAGTATGAGACAAGGTTTTATTTCTCATCATGCTGCTATCTTTATCCCTAATAAGAGGGAGAAGGTACGGAGGTTCATAGAAGGGCTTGCTTATGGTATTAGACTTTAGATGGCTAGAGAGGCCAAGACAGAGTCTTCATTCACTCAGGCAATCGAGATTGCTAGGAGGACCAAGCAAGCATTCGTGGCTAGGGGAGAGATGCAACGTCTGATAAGAGGCCTCGTCATTTTGGTGGTTTCAGTGCTTCTTCGTCTTGATGCAAGGGCCATTTTGGTAGAGGTGATGTTATCTAGTCAGTTCAATCAGCACTTTGGGTTTTTAGCGGTACTTCAGGTGACCATTACTTATAGACCTCGTTTTGAGCAGCCAGCACTCAGCACCTCCAGCTCCCATTAGTGCACCTCCCATATAGAGTTACTATATTAGCCATTCGGGTCGTCAGGGACAGCTACAGGTTCAGAATCCACGTTAGCAAAGGGGTTGCTATGCGTGTGGGGACTTGAGGCATGTCGCGAGGTTTTGTCCTAGGTCATAGAGTTATATGCCACAACATGATACTCATGCTATGATTCCGACACCAGTTGCTACACCACCCACCCAGCCAACTAGGGGTAGGGGTGAGGCAGCTAGAGGTAGAGGTCATCCAGGTAGAGGTCATTATAGAGGTGGAGGATAGGCTGGTGGGTTCAGTCCCGTTGTTATGAATTTCCTAGTAGGCTCGAGGCGAATTCGTCTGATGTAGTTATCACATGTATTATCTCAATTTGACATAGAGATGTTTCGGTGTTGTTTGGTCCAGGTTTCACTTATTTATATGTGTCTTCATATTTTGCATCGCACTTGAGTATGCCGTGTGATTCTCTTGATATTCCTGTTTTTGTGTTTATACGCTTTGGCGATTCTATAGTAGTTGATCGGGTGTATCGGACTTGTGTTGTTACTATTAAGGGTTTTGATATTATAATTGAACTCTTGTTGTTGGATATGGTGAATTTTGAGGTTATTTTGGGTTTGGATTAGCTATCGTCGTATCACGCTATCTTTGGATTGTTACACCAAGACTGTGTCAAGGTTGCCTAGATTGGAGTGGAGAGGGACCCTTGGCCATTTTACGAGTAGGGTAATTTCATTTCTAAAGACTCAATGCATGGTTGGAAAAGGGTGTTTAGCGTATTTGGCTTACCTTCGAGATTCTAGTATAGAGGTTCCTTCTATGGATTTAGTACCGGTTGTGAGAGAGTTATCGGAGGTGTTTCATGCAGATTTAAGAGGCATGCAACCCAAAAGGGATATTGACTTTTGTATTGACCTGGTCCTAGGCACTTATCCCATTTCAATCCCACCATACTGATAAGTTGGTATTTTACTAACTTATCTTTTCTTTAATCTTAGATTCTTGCTATGTTTGATTGATAAAATTGTGTATTTAATATCGTTTACTTCCATTTTATAGGTTTTATGTGATTTAGGAGTGATCGGGAAGAAACCAAGTGAAATAATTCAAAAAGGAGCTAAAATGAAGACATGAATTCTGCCTAGTGAATTACCCTTCACGAACGCGAAGCTTCAGAAGTCAAACCTTCGCGAACGCGAAGGCATGGTCGCGAACGTGATCAAGAAATTGGCAAAACAACTGGGCAGATCTAGAAATTCACATTTTTTTTCCCAAACCATTTAATAGTCGACTCAGCTCATTTGGAAGAGATCTCTGGCGGTCTTTGGCATATCCTTGGGCAAAAATACAAGCTTGGAGCTAGGGTTCTTGTACACACACTTGGGACTTGAAGATTTTTGAAGACTTTGATTGAGATTATCTTGCCCATTTTTACTCATTTCTTCATTTTCTTGCTTTGTATTGAACATTTAAGTGTGTAGTATTTATTTCAACACTTGAATCTTGGTTACGGGAATATTTATTATTAAAGTTTGGTTTAAATATCTTGTTATGATTATGTATAAAAAGATATTATTAATATTGAAGTGAGTTAATTATTTCTTTAGTTATTCTTCTTCTTTAATATTTTCAAAGGGATTAGCTAACCCTAGGACTCACCCACTAACTTCGAATTAATCTTGAAAAAGGTAATTTGGGGTTGGAAAAGATTAATTAACAAGAACTTGAGGCGTTAACCCTCATTTTATAGATTCTACCTAGTGATAGAATTGAACTACTTGTATACACATCGGGTGCAGTTAATCTCTTTATTGTTTTAGGGATAATTCAATTAGGAAGTCTTGTTAGTCTTCAGAAGAAGTTAATATAGAATTATTATCCGAAGCATATTAACATAAACTCACTCTTATTTATAAAATCATAAAATACATCGCATTAATTTGAGTGTAATTCTCCGTGTATCCATACTTGTAGGTATTGATTCATTTAACTCGCTTTCTAGGTTAGTTTAAAATTTTTATTTAGACATAAATATTTTCTAAAAAACCTTTATTAGTGTTTGGCTTAGCATAATAAGCGATAATTCTCTTACTTGCATAATCGCCTACATACTATTCTGTGTGAAATTTGATCCCGACTCATAGTTGGGTATATTATATTGCATGCGACCGTGTCCGCTTACTCTTTGATGAGTGGATTTGGATGTCATCAAAATTGGTGCCGTTGCTGGGGAACAATTCGGCGCATTTAGGTTTGTTTGAGAAGTGTCACAACCTAATTCCCACAATAGGTCGTGATGGCACCCAATATTGCCGTCGGACAAGCCAACGGTGAACTACTAACTTAATTATTTATTTTATTATTTTTGAAATCGTGAATCTTATTAGATAAAGATATTAATGCATTAAAAATTGTAGATACATACAATTTAAATAAAACATAAAGTAAAAGCGTGCCAATGTTAAGCAAAATCATAAGCAAATTCTAGAACATCCCCAGACCCGGTGTCACAAATGCATGAGCGTCTACTAAAGAGTTCAATAATAATACAACATCTGTCTGGAATATAAAATAGACAGGATAAAGTAAATAAATAAGATGGAGACTCTGAGGGCTGCGGTGCATAACATAGAAAACAGCTCACCATAAAATCCCATCAGTAGTTGCGCCTACGCAGTAGGATGACCACCAAATGAAAATGTCAGATCCTGCACGTTTAGTGCAGAAGTATAGCACGAGTACGTAAATCAATGTGTACCCAGTATGTATCTAGCCTAACCTTGGAGTAGTAACGAGAGATCGACGTCGACACTTACTAGTGGTCCAATAAATAAAATGCAGGAATCATAAGTAGGCATGGAATACGATAGGATCAATAGAATAAAGAACAATAGATAACGAAATCAATTAGCAAAATATCATTAGTTTACAAATCCCCAAGTGCCACATGCCATCGCAACAAATAAGAACTATCAACTAACTATCCGATCTCAGGTCATAAAGAGAATATCATGAAATTTTCAAGTTCAATCAAAAGGGTAATCTCGTGGGTATTCGGACTCCTAGAAATTTTACGCACGAATTATGTCGAGGTCGTTCGGCCCGATCCATAATCGTGTACATACACTGCCGAGGTCGTACGGCTCAATCTGTGGATGCATCTCAATATATACCACCGAGACGTTCGGCCCGATCCCCAGGAAATAGTGAAAACTTGACGGGTCGCTGGCCCCACTCACGAATATGTGTGAGTTGTGAGATTCAGGAAACTTTCGGACAATTATGTACAACACGGAAGAAATCCGTTAAAGAAAGTGTAATCCATACTATCACCCTGGTAGCTAACCATATATCACAATTCATACATCCGATACTTTAAACAAGTCTAGTCTTGGACAAGAGCATAAACTAAAGCAATTAAACATGAAATGGTAACGCGAATACTACATTTAAAATATGGCGTGAGTCTAAGTCTACCCGGACCTAATTATGAATTCTAGCATACACACGGACACTTGTCACCTCATGCTTGCGTAGCCCCCACAACATGTAGCACATAGCAAATACAATACCTACGGGTTGAATTTCCGCTCACAAGGTTATATGGGAGACTTACTTAGCTCAAAAATTCGATAACCACCTCCAACGCCTCTCTAACACCTCAAACCAATTCTAAACAATCCGAAACTATCCAAATAACGTGCAAACCAATCAAAATATACTCAAAATTGGTAATTTAACATTTAAAAATAAACTCCCAACTTAACGTGAAAAGTCAACAAAGTCAACCCTAGGCTCGCATGCCCGGATTCCAAAAATTATCGAAAATAAATATTACCCATAACTCATATAGTTTATATGCGTAAACTTATCCAATTTCGTCCATGAGTTAACTATCAAATCAAGGATTACCATTTCTTAATTTTGGGGCTCAAAACCCCAATTTTTACAATCCAAATACG